AAAAACTGCTTGAAAATACGGGAAAAGTGGTATATTTGTCCTTTTTTGTACTAAAATTGAAGGTAGATTTAAAAAAAGGAGCCTCACAGTGTCTGCAGCTTTCGACGCTCTTTCAAACAAAAAAAAAATATTAGGCTTTCTGTTGTACCTTGGTTGAGCAATCTTGAAAATACATCGTCTGCAGAAAATCTATCTTTTGCAGAAAATCATTTCTTTTAAAAAAAAAATTTTTCATCATGGATAGTAGCAATTAATGGAAATCATCAAAAATTTCCATCAAAATAGGGTGCTGACGAAGAAACCAATAGTGTTTCTGAGAGAGCTGATGACGGGCTATCTCCTCATGCATTTATCTGCGTTTCAAAATTTCTGACAAAAATCGACTTTTTTGAGGGGGGAGGCCTTAACTACTATGTAACTTCGGAAGGAAAAAAGCAATTGTTTTAATAGCGGATTTAGGCAGAAAAGACCAGATAGCACATAAATATGCACCAACCAATTTTTCTAAGATAAACTTCCACGAATTGTTTGAGTTTGATCGAAAGCTGAAAATTCCCATGTAACAAATTCGAAAGAAAAAAGTCGAAGGAGTAAATAATTTGACGTATTACTGACATTTATCGTTTCGATATTTGTGTGCTTAAGATCCTTCATTTGAAGTTTTATAATTTGGTTCAAATTCGGGCATACTACTTAAGTTTTAAGGGATTCTCTGAAAAATCTAGGCTTTCAAAGATTTTTTCGAACGTTTTGGCATGCTTTTGGAGTAGTATAGAGCAAAGTGAAAAAAGTCGTTAGCGTGAGGAAGAGATACGATATGAAATGTCTTGCAGGGTAGGGTATAGAATACGAAAAAATCTTACTCTGCTGGACTCTGTTTACGGGTTCTGTGAGATGCCATCAGAATTTCTAAAAGCTCGATATGGAAATATTGTAATCGTCAGTTTTAGATTAGTGTAATGCTTTTTACAAACGGCGCCTTTTAAAGCTCTTGCCAAAGTATGCATAACTCAATAACTGAATGACATAAAGACGCAAACAGATGACCTCGGTAATATTGCTTAGAATTCATTTAAATCGGACACTAAATGTACATTTCCACGAACTGGAAGACATTGTCAAGTAGAGACGAAACAAAGTGTCATTATTACCACGGGCTAAATGTTTTTCCCACGTGGGAAGAATTTCACATTTTGTTCAGTTTTTATTTATTAGACAGAATGATGGCTTGAAAAGTTAGTAGGGTGTATATCTTCAACCTTGATAATACCCAAGGTGCATCTTTTTTGCATGCTATGGCCGTTTCAACATACAATTGATTTGTTACCATTCTACGAATATACCTTTATACAATCTCGAGAAACGGTCAATTTTCAGTAACCTAAACGTTTTTCAGATTTTCATCTTTCTACTCGCCGTATGTCAATGCATTTTAAACTCGATCTGTAGATGTGTTATACCTGTGTAAATTTGCTAATTTGATAAAGTCTTCTTTTGGAAACGGCTGCTCTACAACGAAGGGTGCCCATGAAAATGCCGAATCATGAGCTATGCCAGTCGAAACAAAGCCTCGCCCGGAATTATTATAAACGCTGAAATCGTATAACATTCCCTTAACACCATCAAAAAACAGAGGCTTGGTTTTATCGCGACGATAATATTGGAACTGTCGATTATTTCTATTGTAGCAAATATTGTTAAATATACATAAACGATCTTGCCATGAATCAATATTATTTAAGTCGCCTGTGCATCGGAATTTAGAATAAACGCTTTTGCTTTTCTTGTCCAGCGGTATTGATATAAATTTATCTATTTTAGATGACTGATTAATGTTCCTTACGCGAGCAACTAATAGCATCTCGTCATTACTTAGATGAACAATTTCATAATAAAATGCACTATATAATAATACAATGGCGATAATGATCAGCGGCTTTTTACCAGACAAGGCTCTAACCATTACGAAGCTCTGAGATATCATTTTGTTCGCACAGGACTGATGATGGTTAATCTCATGTGCTATATGTATACAATCTAGTCATGATACTAAAAATGCGATTAAATATATTCTGCTTTACCAATAGCAACTAATCCGCACTAGTTCAACCCGTAAATGACAAAGAAGAAAGACACACGAGGAATACATAGAAATAACAGCCATTTGTGTCAGAAGAGATGGTTAAAAACTACAGTTTTTCAACAATACAACTTTACATAGTAAAGCATGAGCTATCCTCAATAAACTTAACTACAGCACGATAAATAATACAATAGTGATCGTGTTCAAATTGATCACTCAACAGAAAAGTGTCTATAAGAAAAGCTTTGTGTAAGGTATAGAATTAGTAATCATTTTAAACAAGGAGAGGATAGGAGAGGACATTTTAGAACGTAAAATTTTGTGTTTTAGTTTTCCCTCCATTAGCAATATCCGTCATAAACTAGACGTTTTATACAAAGATCGTTGTTTAGCGGCGAGAATCCACACCGCATCTAATTGTAAATTTTGTCATATCTGCGCTTAGTATAGGAAAAACTTGGAAAACATTCACTCTTTCGGTTCGTGCAGTTAGTTTAGCCCGAGAAGATATTAAGACCCTACACGCCCGTATCTCATCGTTCAAATCTTCTCACTTTTTAATAACCGTGGGAAAACATGACTGCTCAAATGTTTTCGTTTTATGTGTTTTTCTGTGAGATGTATAGTGAAGAGCTTCGGTTTTAAAATAAATAAAAGTTTAAAATAATAGTTCCAATAAAGTGGGTACAAAAATTACTCGTGTGACGAAAAAAAATTTTCTATATCAAATATCTCAGCAACAATAGGACATTGCAAGAGCTGGTTTTCACCATTAGACAGGTCTACGTGTCAACTTCGTCTGATGTTAATATGTCACATTTACTCCACTAGCTGCAAGGGTTTTCTAAATGAACTTTATTTTTTTCTTAACGTTGATACGATCGATGAAAAGGAGGTATCGGCTTGAATAGAAAAGAAACGAAAACAATATGTTGTTAGAAATCGTTTTCGTAATAATGAAAATAACAATTTTAGTGTAACATGGAGCTAATTCAAAAAATCAAGTGGAATTTTTTTGAACTTATTATATACCATTCGATAGAGTTTCCAAGTAAATCAAGAATATGCAGCTCTTAATTTTTCGAAACTTTCTTTTCATGTCGAAAGCTCGAAAACACGACGATGTTCGGAAAAGTTAAATTTTTGAACTTGGCTTTTTAGTCGAAACGCATTATATCCGCCATGAGCCCAGTTTTAAAAGTATAACTTTGTTATGAATTTTCTCAGCAATGAAACAAAATTTTAAAAAAACAAAGTTATACTTTTAAAACTGGACTCACGGCGGATACAAAGCCATTGATACGATGGTTCCATCCCTTGACACAAAATGACTCACCCTTCTGTTCCAATGGTCTATTTTATTTAACGTCCATGGTGGACAGGCGTTTGCCATCATGAAAATCTAACTTTTTCGAATATCGTCGTGTTTTCGAGTTTTCGACACGAAAAGAAAGTTTCGAAAAATTAAAAGCTACATATTCTTGATCTACTTGGAAGCTCTACCGAATGGTATATAATAAGTTCAAAAAACTTCCACTTGACTTTTCAATTACCTGCACTTTACATATTTATATTTTTGGCAGTTCACATTCTTGGTTTTTTTTTCTTAACACCTCGTAATGACTAGCTACAAAGTCTCGCGTGAATTGTGTGAGCTCAAGCCAGTTCTGATCATTAACAAGTCTGTCAATGTAGTGGAAAACGTGATATTCATCTAATTCATACATTTGCTGATGGGGAACATAATGCCAGTTATTTGGCTCGAAATCGTTCTGCACTTGCTTATGTCCGTTTGTTCCGAATGTACGTGCTGGAGTAAAAGCATAAAAACCAGGGACAATTGTTGAGTTATAACCTAACTTTTTAATCATACAAGATAAGGCAACATCAGACCAAGGATTGTCTTTGGGCCATACGTTTTCAAAGTACGGTAACATAATTGATCGCAACACTTCCAAGAGTTTATAACTCAAAAGAATACCAGGGCCGCCAGCGACAAACTCAACTGGAAACTGTGTACCGTTTTCACCCCAGCACATTTTTGAAAGTGTGTATCCTCCAATGAAATAGACTTCTTTGTAATCAAATGGATCTAAACGTTTCAACAGATGATTTACGTCAACATATGTATCACATCCAATTATATAAAACCACTTCTGCCGTTGATGCTCAGGTTTTTTTTGTTGATGTTTATAAATAATCTCTAAGCCATAAAACGTCTTATTCATGTTTGATAAATAATCTTCCTGCGTATTTGGAATAACGGTAACTGGCAAATATGGATATGGTTTTGAACTTAAAAAATAATAATTACTAATGCGAGACAACCATGTATCGCGTACAGCCATCGCACGTGTTTGATAAAAGGGAGCACCGGTAACTATCACAAAAGCAATATCAGACTCCTGGTAAACGCGTGCCCTTATCCACTTGTACATCGAGGAAGGCATCCACTTACAATAAGGTTTCAAACTTTTTTCATGATAAAGCTTTATAACTTCATTGTGGCTGCTAGAATCATTATTGTTGCAAATATAACTCTGATAGTGTATCATAGGCTTACTTTCAGAATGAATCTTTTCACTACCATTCGGTCGATTACTCACAAATTTCGAGTGTTCAGATCGAATGTAAGTTCTGTAACGCATTTGAATAAGTACTAACGTCACGACACCAAGTAAGATGACAAAGAATGCTATCGTTGAGATATTTCGATCCAACATTTGTAATTCGACTTTGTACGTTTTTATTTAATATTCAGTGTTTTGATTTTTCCAAAGCAAGCAATTTTACCCTGTAACGAAGAAAACTTTTAAACGGTGGGGTTCGATAAGAAAAATCGGCCCGTTCTCAGATCAATCTCATATTCACAGATATGTGATGTAGTTTTTATCCGTGATCGAAACTAGCACCTTAGAAAATCCATATCAGCCTCTCTTGGAAAAGTTTTCTCTCTTTAGATAAACTTGACTTAGAGTATTTTCCTCATTTCTTCTCTTTTGCTCAAAGCAAACCTCAACTACTGTATACCATTCGATTGAGAATTTCACGGGCTACAGAGTGATATATAGATTATCGAGAACAAATTAGGTTTGGATGTTGTAACACTACAAATACTAGTCACGACCTTCACAAATCCATAAGTCAACCTCGTTCATCTTTTATATTATCCAGCCATTTTCTCGTTAATAACTCCACGTTATGTACCATTCGGTAGAGAATTTCACGGGCTACAAAATGACCATAACATATTATTTCCGAAGTGTGTCTTTGTAATTAAAGTCGACAAATAATTGACAGATA